ATTGTGCAGGTTTCTTTTAGTTAGCTGGGTTTCAAGAATAATCAAAGATTTTTGGATTTACATTATTATGATAGATTAATAATTCTGATGCTCAAAAAGGTTGAATAGTTCAGCTTGAAAATGAATTGTACTTTACTGACAGTAACATAACATCTTTAACTACAGAATGTTATATTGAGATTTCTACTAATTTCATGACCAATTGCCACATTACATCTGAAGGATTTTTCACTTACCTGCTGTCATTTTTGGTACTGACAAAGCCTGAATTTCATGCCAAAACAGAAACAGAAGTGTCTAAAATGCAAGATAGCACACTAAGTGCCAGAATGATGAACTTGCGGACAAGAAAAGGGCTAATCCAGCTATCATTCGAATTAGCAGTTTTTGTTTGGTCTCAAAAAAGGAAAAGCAGAGGTCCAACAGTGTAAACAAAAGTGGCAATTCATGGGATTTTTTTATTTTTATATATTTTCAGAAATTCTACTGAAGACAAAATTATATTATCCAGTATAACAGAACTATAATGCCCAATAAAGTATGTTCTCTATACCAGTTTCTAAAACTATGTTTTTACATACATAATGGTAAATACACGAACATTTATTGCATTAAACTGATAGCACTGGAAAGATCTGATCAGTATGTTGAAATATTCATTATATACTAGTGTTAAAATCATCACATGATCTGCATGAACCATTTATAGCACAGAGTCTACCTACTGGTTCTCTGTTTTGTTGCAGTGAGAACAGTGTATATCTTTCAAGGAGGGTAGAAATGAAGAATGCTGATACAGAAATGAAATGCCTCCAAAATATGAAATAAATGCTTATTAATACATTCTTTCTTCTTCTTGTCCCAAAACGTCAAAATAATTAAACAGAAAGCAAGGTTAGCTTAGTAAGCAGGCAGACGCTTTGTAGGAAAATGAGGTTTATATATGGTTTTGCAGAATTTGAAGAAGTGAAAGCTGAACCTGACTTGACTTCTCCCTAAAAAGGCAGAAATACTTATTCATATAGAGCCGATGATAGCTGAACTATTTTTTACTATTAGTTTCTTGTCACTTGCATTTTTAGTTGTCAGTTAAAATAATTTTAAAAACATTTGTTACTTTATTAGCCTTTTTTAAAAATGAAGAGCATCCTGCCTGCAAGAAGATATATTTAACATAATGGTGAGAATAGTATACCCACTATTTCTTTGAAAAAGATTGGTCAAAGCATATATAACACTTTGATGTCGCTGGTTGTTTATAGAAGAGTCCAAAATAATGCAAAAGATCATTACACGGGTTTTGGAATTCCTGAGTGTGCTTATCTATGTCATAAGTGATGTTCTTAGTTGCTTAGACAGTAACCTACCTTGAGAATCAGAACTGCAGAAATATTATTCACTGGTGTTTGCTATCTTTTCACAATCTGAAAAAGCAAGATCCTGATTCAGTGTGCTCGTTAAAAGTCCCACAGCACATTTCATGACATAAAGAGGTTAATCTCTGGGTCCTAGTACAATACCTGTTGTAGATTAATTTCACTTATCCATGCTTTTCTAAGTGTTTCATTTGGATATGCTCTTCTTACAGCTAATTGGATACTGCCAGATAATTACTGAATTCCATTTTAATGGAAGCTGATTCATTGCTGCCATATAATTCATGTTTTAATTAGTTTTATAAAATGCTTTAGGGTACTGTTACAGCCCCTGTAAATGGTTTCCTTGTTTGTTTGTTCTATACATTTTGCAAAGATATATTTGAAGATCAGTCTTTTCTGGAAAATATATAGATGAAACTATAAACAAATGAAAATAAGATACCTACCAGCTGAGGCAGAGAGTAAGAAACACTACCAAGACAGGCATTTTTGATAATGCATCACTTTTTTTTGCATGTGCTAAAATACATTCTTTGGCAACAATACTGCAGAAATGGGTGTTCAGAAATTATTCAAATAACTTAATAGTGGGAGCTTGATAAAGAGGCTTAGAGCATCTTTGTAGAAAAAAGGCAAAAACGGAAGGTACTTGAGTAAAACATACTTGAATGAGGTAAATAAGAAGTAAACCGATGATGAACACTTTTTGCCTACTTTGCATGGAACCAACAGGCTCTCATTCTAATGTTTCTAAACACAAATCATTCTAATGATTTAGAAATAAAGTCAAAGCAAAAATCAGTTATTATATAGTATTGTAGAGAATAGGTGGAATAGAATATTGAGAAAAAATATGAAGAGACACAATGGAAGTCAATGAGAACAAAATTCAGTGTAGTTAAAAGCTATCTAGGGCAATGTGGACAAAAGTAGGATTCTGTATCCAGAGATAGGAAATTAATAAGAAGGGTTTGATGTTGTGTTCTCTGACATCATTCTTCTTTTGGCCAAGCCCAAAGAGTGGTGATGAATGGTGTCATATGTAGTTGGCAACCAGTCACTTGTGGTGTCCCCCAGGGCCTGAGAAATGAGCCAGTCTTGTTTAATGTCTTTACTGATGATCTGGATGAGGACATCAAGTGCACCATCAGTAAATTTGTAGATGACACCAAGTTGGCTGGGAGTGTTGATCTGCTGGAGTGTAGGAAGGCTCTGCAGAGGGATCTGGACAGGCTGGATCGATGGGCTGTGGCCAGTGCTATGAGGTTCAACAAGGCAAAGGAGAGACATTGAGGTGCTGGAGCGGGTCAATGGAGGTGGTGAAGAGCCTAGAGCACAAGTCTGATGAGAACAGCTGAGGGAACTGGTGAGGTTTAGTCTGGAGAAGAGAAGGCTTGGGAGACCTTATATTGCCCTCTACAACTAGATGAAAAGAGCTTGTAGTGAGGTGGGGGGTCAGTCTCTTCTCCCAAGTAACAAGTGATAGGATGAGAAGAAACAGCCTCAGGTTGTGCCAGGGGAGGTTTTGATTAGGTATCAGGGAAAATTTCTTCTCCAAAAGGGTGGTCAGGCATTGGAACAGGCTGCCCATGGTAGTGGTTGAATCGCTACACCTGGAAGTGTTCAGAAACCATGTAGGTGAGGCCCTCAGTGACATGTCTTCTACAACATAGGATACTGAAATTTTAAGAAAGAGAATTACCATCTAAAAGGGAAATTAATGTTATCGTGAAAGAATACTAAGTATTTTGCAAATGTATTGTGTAACCACACCTTTCTAATTCAACATTGTAAAATATTTTCTCCATATTTTCCATTCCTTTTTTTTGTTTTATTTCTGCTAGTGTCCCGTCATTACTATACAGGTTCTCTGAACATGCTTGTTTGGAAAACTGAAGAAAACAAACGTTATCACATAAAATCTCCATTATATAAATATATAAAAGCAAAGTAAAATAACTCCTGTATTTTCAATTTTACTTCCAGCCAGCTTTTTTCAAGGCAACTTTTCCTGCCCAACAAGATGATCTTGGAGTCATATATTAGAAAAATATTTTGTTGCCTTTATTATCACAAAGCTTGTCATCACCTGTATTATCCTGAAAGAAATACTATTATGGATGTTATTCGTGGTGAAAATGAACACATTCTAGACAGAGGTTTAACTGTATTTACAGTGGAGAGTGATCTTTTACTCAAAATTAAGAAGCTATTATTCTGAGCTAACCCAAGCACTGCTGATTTATTAAGAATAACCTGTCGTGTAGAGCACTATGTCATTGGATGTTGCCTTCCATCCAGTGAACTGCTGAGTGCCTCTATTCTTATTTAAGCTAATTGGACTAGTGTTCATCTAGTGTCCAGCAGTTTACAGAACAGTCCCTAATGCAGGGTCTTACACTGCTCTCCGGATGCATACAACTAATCCTTACTCAGGTCAATGGGTCTGCTTATATGACTAGGATTGAAGGTGGTGAGATTCCAACTTCTGTTAGCACACCTCAACTATAGGACCAACAAAGCAAGAGCAGGCAAAGACAATGCAAGGAAAACACACACACAAAAGATGGCTGAAAAGCAGAGAACTGGTGCCTCTACTTATGTGGTGAACCTTAGGGGAGAAAACAAAAAGCAACTGATGGAAATGTAGAAGGGACAACAAAACTATTTGCGTCATTAAGGTTCTTTGCAATGTTTACTTGAAAATTATTTTAAGATATAAACAATTTAACACACTGCATGTACAATTAAAATCATATATATAAAAATATGAAACTTAACATCTGAGAGGTAGTAGCTTTAATCACAAATGAACAGTGCAAACAATCATTCTAAATTATAATTCTAATCTATTTACAACCAGTTACAGAAATAACTAAAGAAAAATACCCAAAACAAAACAGCTTAATCAGCCTGTTCACCTAGGTCTTATATCTTTGACCACATAGCAAAATCTGTAATCCTGCCACTGTGAGCAGCTTTGACCTGTGGCTATCTTTACGGATGGTTTCACAGCTGCGTGCTCAACTTATTAAGTTTTAGAATGTACTAGGTCATTTCCCACAGTCCTGACATGCAGAGAACCAACACTTATCTAACTTCAGTACTTTAAGGTTGGCTCAGGTCCTTAAGTGCTATTTGAACAGTAGTAGAACTAGTGACAATCTCAGGTCTAGAATTTATTCTGCAAAATTCTATGATCTTTTGCCATGAGAAAACCTGGCAAAAACATACAGTACAACTATGAAGAAAAACTCAAATGAATATGATCTTCTTTTGAACCGATGTGCAGTATGTCATGCCTATTATTTTTCTCTGAAAATGGGCCTTGAACATTTTAAGTACTAAAAATATCGCTGGCATGTAAGGTGTGTTCATCATTCAGTAAAATTCAGATTTTCTTTACAGTAAAAAATAACCTATAGTGCATACAGTTATGCAATTGTCAAATGTAAAGGGTCTACAGTAAAACAGGCAGCTGGTTTTGATCTGCAAATAATTTTAAACAACATTTTAGCAATCACATTTCCTATATTGAGATTAACCATTTCATTATTGACCATAAGGGAGCTCAGGGGAGAACAACAGAAAACATGAAAGTGGAATTCCTGGAAAATGACAATGACAAAAACCAGTATAACAAAGGAAAGTATTTTGGAAAGAAGAGGAAGAGGTAAAAGTCAGAGAAAGAGTACGGGAAGGAACTGAGTGTCTATCATCTTCTTTAGGTTCAATTGAGAGAATTCCTAGAAGTAAAAATATTTTTACAATTGCAACTAAATGAAATATAATTGAAACTTCAAGTATCACAATCAGATCATGGAGCTCTGTTAGACTGCTGTTGCCACTGTCAGAAATATATGCACCAATCTGCAGATTGTACATAAGACACCTCTAAATATAAATTTGATACTCTTATCATACTTGCATATGGAACTCTTTAAAAGAATGTTGATTTTTTTATCTGGAACTAATAGGCATTGCCTCATATCCAAAATTAGTGATAAGTAGTAGTCCCAGCTCGTACCTCTGTGTCCTTCAAAACCTCGTATTTGGCTTTAAGATCATTCTTCCCACTGAGAATAGATCTTGGGTGACAGGTTTGGCTGTCTGCCAATCTTTGGAAAAAACAGAAATATAGTTACGTCCTGAAAATTGACAATGTAAACTTTCTAAAGTGCCTGCTGTGAAATAAATACAAAACTTCCTTGTCTTCCTAGAGTGTTTTCCAAAATGACAGGGGAGAATACCTGCATTTTTGCAGCCATCTAATGGATGTGTTAATGCACGGGCACATTCAGTTGTTTAGCCTCACAGAGAACTAAAAAGTTTTCGGAATTAGAAGTCAATGATCGTGTCTTGAAAGAATTTCTTCCCAGCTCTTTGGCTAGCTATGTATCATGACATACATTGCATGTAACACGAGTCTTACAATGTCAATGCAATGATTTAAAAAGCTTTATCCTAATCGTTATTTTTATAACAAAATCTGTATATCCCCATTCCACCAGGTAAGAACACAGCCTGAAAAATTCACTTACGTTCACTCCACAATGATGTATTTGATGTAATGATGAATGATCATGTAAAGATGATTATAACTAACACTTGCAGTCATTTGATTTTTCTCCACATAACTCTATTGATTGTCAAGACCATCCCAATGATGTCTTAGCAGTTCAAATACTTACAGTTTCAAACAATGTGAATTACCTATTCCAAAGTCATTAAGAATACAATAAAAAAAACCTTTAGATTAAATAAACAGAAGCAAATTCTAACACAGTGGCTTATTTTGGAAAGGTGACTATTTTCCTTACATTTCAATACTGTAAATAAAATAAAGAAATAAACAAATAAATAAATAAAGACAGTTGCAAGGTTTGGTCTATTTTCCAATGAAATGGAATCAATCCCAGAAAATGCTACCAATTCTAATTGGTTAAACAGCCTCCACACAGTAACCCTGCTGCAAGGGATACAGACCTCTTCCATCACTACCGTGCCATCAGTATTCAGCCCCACTGCATGATAGGAATGACACAGAACTTCTGGATTTTAGCTGTTCTGCTTAGTTCAATGTAAATTTGATGTGTCAATTCAGTGAAGCTCCAAGAAAATGACTGCCTGACTGCCTAACATGGATGCAAGCCTCAGCTCCCTGTTGGGGTTTTAGGGATGCTTCATTTGTCTCAAATTATTTAAGTACACAAATAGTAGCATCCCTAATGTTTCCCTTGATCTGAGCCGTCTTTAATACCACATTTCTTAAGTCCCATTAAATTCAGAAAATGGCATTTCCCACACACCTATGGAGAAACACAAATAAACTGGTTTTATTTTATTAACTTCATGAAAAGAATAACATTTTTACATTAATTATCAGAGGGTTTCCACTGCCATTTAATTTTGAGTGGAGTAGGTCATCAATACTAAGGCAGCATTAACAATTAATTTTACATTCAACAAGTTCCCCTATAAGATGAAAAAATAATCTAAGACTGTTTTCTTCCCACAAACAAATGCAAAGGATAGCCAAGACTGTGAGATGGAGATTGGTCTTGATTTGCTATGTGTGCAGCTCAGGTATGCACTTAGTTAAGGCTGAGGTCTTTTATTCTATTAAGTATGTCTGACTTTTTTTAAATAGAAGAAACAATGACTATTATATATTTCATTATGTATATAAATAAGATTAAGTTTAATATGAATGCTTAAAACAAAATACTAATCTCTAAAAATCAGAATCAGATAAATTCATAGGCTGGAAAGGGTCAGCCACTGCCCAAATCTCCCACAGACTTTAAAGAGTATTGGTTCAGGCCCCATAGCTGAGATCATCAGACCTTGATTTTAAGCTATTATTTGGAAAACTTCAAAGATTTTGTCAAAAAAAAAACCCAAACAAAAAAACAAACAAACAAAAAAAAAAACCAAACAAAAAACCCAAATACCAACAAAAAAAAAAAAACAACCAAAAAACCTCCCACAAAAAAACCCATAAGAGAAGAAAACAGATGCATTAGTATCCGCTCTAGCACTTTTCTGCTTTTCATTACAACCAGTCAGTTCTTACGCAGGAGAAAAGCCAAGTTAGAAAGCCTGAGAAAGAAAGAGAGATAAATAATTCCAGAGAAACTTTCTCATTATCCAATGTTTTCCCTCCCACACAGAAGAGTGCAACCCAGATGCCCTCAGTTCTTAGAAATGAGTAGAAAAAGAAGAAAAAGCTGCAAGGGCAGAAAGAGCTCTGATTCCAGAGAATGTAAGTTTACAGAAATGTTTAATCTGAAGTAAAAACATCAGAATCTTAGGTGCTTGTGCTCTGTTTGCTCATCAAGACAGAAATCCATCTTTGTGCCCAAAAGTGTTTGTCAAATTGGAATTATTTACACTCGAGTGTGGGTACATACAGTTAATGTCTTGAAGAGGATAGGTGTTTTATTTTAGTTGAGCTGCTATCTCTGGCGAAGTCTTTCCAAAGATACTGATGTTAAATTGCCCCAAATTTTCAGCACTCTTGCTCTAAATGCCTCAATGTTGTCTAAGTTTAACAGCTTGTTCTAATCCTACTTAGGTAGATGTTACTGCGAACTGTTATCCTCTAATGCATATACCTATTCTAAAAAAAAAGCCTAAGCAAGGCAGAATTTTATGTAATTGTATGAATGCCATGAAATCTTGCCTAGTACAGCTCCCACCAGGAAACAGTATCCTCTTCTTGGGTCAGGGAGCTGTAGTTCACACCTCTGGCAGTGTGCCACTGATGTGCTGTGTGATTGTGACAATGTCCATTAACCCCTCCGTTTACTCATCTGTAAAATGATTATAAAAGTCAAATTCCATATAATTTATCCCAAACTGCAAACATGCACTGGGATATTGATTGTCCCAGCGTGTTCACAGGAACAACATAAATACTGAGAGAAGTAATGAAAGTGAAAGGGGTAGATTTTTCTATATGCAGATAGAATACCTTATCCCCTAACAACTGTAAAACTTTCTGATAAAAAAAGAGTTGTTAATATCTTAATTTCCTCCAATCACAGTGAGTTAACATGGCCTACTCTGTTTATCTGACTTCATCAGATAATTCAAAGAAGAGAAGTTAATACTGAAATGAAAAAAAAAAAAAGTAAAAAGTACACTACACCTTAAAGATTAAATACACATTTTTATGAAAAATATCTCAAAGCTAATTATACATTTGTTACACTGCTTACCAAATCATGGGAAAAATGTTGGTTTGTTTTTTTTTCTCTTGTTTACCTTAAATTAGATGAACAGTTGTCACCCATTTGTAAATGCCAGCAAAATGTAGGAAGCCATGAAAATAAAGCAGGTGAGGCTCTGGCTCACTTCACTGAGCCACTGGATGTAAAGGGTATTGAAGAAGATGGAAAAGATCATGCAAACAAGAATCGGAGTAGCTTGGATGCATCTGAAGATAGAGACCTTGATAATGTATCGGACAGTGAAAAAGAAGGAAAGAAAGAAAAGAACTACCCTCCTCAAATGTTCTCTCCTCAGCAAGATGAAATCCTAACTACAGTAACTTTTGGTGAATCAGAGGGCTCATCCACAGGAAAAATTACACTATGGGGCAAGCCAGACTCCGCAGAGTTGGTTAGTTCGACTGCTAGGAAAATTACTGCAGAAGTAAAATGTGGTTCTTTCAGTGTGAAAGTAGAAATTAAGAATGTTTCTTTGTTTGATTCTGAAACAAATCTTGTAGCTGAAAGCCAGAAAAGTTCAAAGAACAATAAACATTGTCATGAAAGACAATACCAGAAAAGCCAGTGTTCAAAATGTTCAAAGTACCAGTGTCCTTCAACTGACTGTTCAGCAGAACACAGTGAGCAATATAAGGGATCCTCTAAACATAAAATTCAAACTGACATCAACAAAAATGCCTCCCTGAAATTGAACATTGACACAAAGGAGATTGAAGTGGAATTTACCAGCAGAAAGAAAAATCTAAAGGTTAGCATCAAACCTGGTGAACAGGCACAGAGCAAAACCTGCAACAGGGAACATGAAGATACGTATTGGAGTGAAACAGATTATTCTGTAACAGAGGCACCTTGCAATACAGATTGTGAGTCATCTTTTAGCTTTCATGAAAAAGTAGACTATACATTCCTAGATGGATGTACACTTCTCCCTCCACCTAAAGAATTTGCTGACTGTGACAAAATGCATTTGGATACAGTTGCAGAGAGAGCATCTTTGTACCCTGTTAGTGACAGAAAGGAATCTGACAGCCTCTCTCCAGCCTTGAAAAATTTCGAAGAAGAAAGCTATTTCTGTAAACGTAACAAAAAGGACTGTGGAGACCACACCAGTGAAAAGGAAGATTTTTCAAAAGACAAAATACTTTTCTCAAAAATAAATAATACAAATTGTCTTGTAGCTAGTAACACCTGCAATAACCCAAACTTTGGGAAGGAGCATATCAGTAAGAACAATATATTAGCTCAAGAAAGAAATAACTGTGAGAAATGTAGAGACACAGGGCAAAAACCAGGAAGAAGAAAGTCTTTCCCAGATACTACTCTTGATGTACCATCACCAGTGCACCCTAGAAGGGATTCTGGGTTTTATTCATTGCCATCCTTAAAAGTATTTCCTAAGGAGACCAAAGCAGGAGATGTTAATAACAAGAACTCACATGTTCATACCAGCTATACAGAACTTGGTAAGTGTCCTGACTTGACCTCCTCACTGGGAAGCCTGAGAGGTCTTATGTCTTCGTATCATTATGCTTTCACCTCATTTGATCATAATATTACCATTTATACATCTGAACCTGAAGAAAGTCTAGATGACACTTGTTTACTGAATGACTCTGCAGGCTATGTGAGGCAAGGTGAAGACACATTAATGGAGAGTCTTCATTCCAGTGGTATTGTAAGTAAGAAAAAAGAAAATGGGCATGAAGAACCTCTGAGAAACCTAGCCATATGGGAGGAAGACTCTGAGTCTATCGAAGATGCTTTAGATGAAGGGACACCAGAGTACAACCATATAGAAAAGCACACTGAATTGCAGAACAAAGCTCAGCTGGTACAGGTCTCTCCATGTTCTAGAAGCCCTTCAGGTGAACATATTAATGACAAGGAAAGTACTAATTATACATCTACAGAAAGTGCTCAAAACCATCTTTCAACTTTACACCCACCCACTGCAGAGGCTGAGGTAGCAAAGAAAAGGAGAGGGTCAGTAATGACTGTGATAACTGGAGGAATAGAACGAAGACTCGTCCAAGGTGACACTAAATTGATACCTGATTCTTTTGGCTCTGCAGTGAGAAAAGAGCCTAAAGTTCCCTGTAGTATAGATGAAAAGTCCTTGCTGTCATCCTTGTTACTAGATCCTGAGGAGCATGACATTAATAATGAATCAGAAAGTTTTTCTGAGACAAAAGACATATCTGGGAATATCCTTCTTGACTCCGACTGCCATAATGATTCAGCAGGGGATGCCATTTTATCTACCTCTTCAGCATACACAGAAAACAAAGAGAATTTCACAGAAGATTCAAATGCCAAGGAAAGACCAGAGAACTTTTGCTGTAAACTGTCAACTGATGATAGCTTAAGAAGAGAGCCTGGAGCACATCAACTACCTCAGTTAGCCAAATCCAACTGTAATGAAATTGAGAAGAAGACTGAAATGAAACAAGATTTTCATCAGAATGCAGATATCCCCCTATCATCAGTAAAACGTATTAGTCAGAAAGGTAGGTGTTATAAGACTTTTGGAGTTAATATCGCTTATACACCTTTGGCATAGGTGGTTTAGTGCTTTGGTGACATCTTTTTGAAGAAAATGAAAGTATATTACAATCTTTCAAAGAGATAATGTTGGTATGCTTGGCCATTTGGTTATAATACACAGTTATTGAGAATCCTAGCAGCTATCTTGTAAAGCAAGTAACTTAAATAATAAAGAAAGATTTTAATACAGCTTTGCTCAAGAAGTAGATTTCATACATCAAACAGTCAACTTATCCTACATATCTAGTGAAAGAAGCAAACACCAAAACAGGAGGGGATTTTTTGAGTTGCCATATGCATAAACTCAGAGCTCAGTGTTTAAAACCACATAGATCTGTTTTTGGAATCCATGTGATCTAAAAGCAAATACTGAATTCTAAGTACATCTCAATCCTAATTCTGGCTAAGCCTTTAAATGTCATGGAATGACCTTAGTGTATCATTTAACCTTCTTTTCTCCTCTATTTACGTAGTAAAGAAAACTGCATATGAAAAATAATTATTTTTAATAGCTAATCCTTTACAAAATCTATTTTCTTCTCTTCTGTAATCCATCTACCCATACCCATGACCAGTCTTTAAAGGGAGCGTTTTGAATTATAATATTGTAAAGCTGTACAGGGATGCTGCACACTATAGTGTTAGCTTTTTACATTGTGAATATGTACACACACATATATATGTATGTGGTTTTTAAATATTGCTCCAAACACTTTCATTTTAATTTTTTAGTATTAATCAGGTTATATGTGATGTAGGTCAGATTGTCCTCTCCAGAAGAAAATGTTTGCAGGAGGTTTGCAGATTAGGAGTTTTATGCTGGTGAAAAAAACATACTTCCTTTTCATGGGAAAATGCCTTCAAAAATCATAGTAAAAAGCATATGAAAGTTTTTAATAATCTTTGTAGTTCATGATATGTGCAGAAAATACTGGTATATCCTCCAAGGTTTTCTTGTTTAGCACTGGTAATGGAAATTTCAAAAATACCTGAAGTCTATCTAGACTATATAGCTATACTATACAGGTAGATATTGCTATACAGATCAATATCTAATATACTGAAATAAATAGAGTATTACTTAAATAAAGTTCTCTTTAGAGCAAGGTATAGGAATAAGACCCTAAAGGAAGGCTGCATGCTAAAACCCTTGACTTCTCATCAGAAGATGAGACATTCAGATATCTCAGATGAGACATCTGTGGTTAAACACACAGCACAGAAGTGAGGTGTGTTTTGATTTTATTTTCTCCTCTTCCCATTCTGCCCTTTGCTAAGAATTATCTATATGTTTTTCTCACCTATCACTTCATCTGGTCTGTAACGTTGGCCCTGGGATCATAGTTTGATTTTCCATCTGTTATTCTTAGCAGTGCTGTGGAGATCCAACCTTAAATATGTAAATGTGTACATCCAGAAAGATAAGCATGCAGAGTTTTAAAACGCATTATATGAATCAAAGTCCACTTGTAATGTGGGAATATCAACCTACTTAGTCAAGACATTGGGCACAAGGTGCAACTTAGGACTTCCTATGCTTGGTAATTCAGTGACACTGGAAAAGAAATGTGGCATTTTTCAACAATGAGTGAGAGCATGTAGAACAGAGAAGAAAAACAGATGCAAATGTGAACAGAATGGGGGAGATGAGTCCAGGCAATCTAGAAGTCTGCTGGTGTTGTGGGAACTTTGTTATTATCAGAGGGGCAAGAACTCATGCAAAGGGCACTACAAGAAATTGGTTTTCTGAGTCTCATCAGGTCAGCTGCCCTGGAAAAGGAGCTCAGTGACATGAGTGTCTTGAAAGATTTTTAATGTTTAAGTAGCACTTGATGTATTTACATCCTGAACACTGCAAAATACATAAAAAATAAATAAAAATATATTAAAACTTTAAAATAAAATCTATGTGCAATTTACATGTTTCTGCATAAAAATGGTGCCATACAAATGGCTATTTAGGCATTTATCTACAGATACAACTGCCACAAGGCAATCAGATGTGCTTCTCTCTGCGTGAAGATCTCAGTCTGAAGTGCACACTTTCTGAATATATTCAGTATTATTTGGTATTTTCATTTCTATGGCTAAGTTGTTCTTGTATTTAGACTGCAGAAATTTTAAACAGTATTATTGCTTAAGTTGTCTTACACATTCCTCACAAACAATGTCTGATTATAATCTAGACTTGAAATCAGAAATGAATAAAACCAGAAAGCTACCTTTGATGAAAGACACCAGAGCCAGTGATAGTTCCCAGGAAGAAGCAATAGACCAGTGGGCCAGGAAACGGAAACAGTTCAAGGACAGCAAAAAGTGCAGTTCCACTGGAGGAAGCTCCATAAACAGCACAATCACTGAGGGATCAAGTGAGTACTTTAGTTTTACAATTGTGTTTTCTTTTGTGTGATTGACAGTCTAACAGGGTTTTTCAGCTGAGGAAATTGATCTTCAGTTCATAATGTGAGTCCCTTTCTTACTCTTTATCGTGAGCAAACTTATTTTATTCAACTGAACTATTCTTCAATATGGGAGTTAGTATCCTCTCTCTTTCATATAACCAAGTGAACAATCTGACTGAAAAAAAAGTTGATTGCATCATCCTTGTCCTTATGCAGTTAATGTTAAGACAAGCTCTAGGCACAGCCAAACAGGTAATCACTTATGGCAGCAGCTTTGAGGGTGTAACAAAAATCATAATCCTGATGCCTACATTGCTTATGTCAAAGCCATGGTGAGCTGGCAGTCCTGTGCTCACTAAGATAACCACCTGCTTCACCTTTTGTCTTCAGGCTTGTTGCCTAGATCATCCTTCACTGTTCCTCCAGTTACTGAAAGTAATTCCAGTAACTGCCTCATTAAGAAATCTGTCATCTCACCCTGTGCTTGAGCCTGTACCAAACTGATCAGCTTAAATTGCACAGGAAGGAATTTTAAAGATGAACTGCTTAATGACTCTCCATTTCATGCAGATGGAGTCCCCAAGCAAGGATTGCATAGTCTAGGAGAGAACATATGGGGTACTTCTTACTTCACACCATCTTTGCCTCCTGTTTTGCTATTTTAGTAATGTAAGAAGTACTAAGAAGTATTTAGTACAGACCAAGAAATGTGCATTTCCCTGTGGAAATATTTCATGCTATAATGGTTACTTTTGGTGAGGGAAGTTTTATTTATAGATGTAAAGTCTCAATTTTAAAGAAGGTTAAATGCAAACCTATAGAAGACTTCGGTGCAGGTCCAGTACAAGATAACTGTAAATATGTTCTATTCCTGTACTGAAGAGTTAGGTCCTACCTCAGCAGGGTCTCAGTTCACTACCTAAACATAGATGTCAGTTACCAGCTGGGATGCCAATAGGGTTCTGAGATATGTGACCTACAGCAGACCATGCCTTTTTGAAGTAGTAACTGGATGGCAAATGAGATATACTGAGGCCTCTAATATGGTACTAGCCACCTATATTCAGATAACTGAGTCAATCCCTAGGTTTTTAATGCCTGTTAACAAAGCAGCAGGGATGACTGACATTTCACACGGAAAAAGAAAAGCTGTTTATTGGTAGCAGTTTGCATTCTTTGCCCATAAAACAGGTTTAAGCCCACAGCAAGGTGATTAGAAAGTTACCACTTCAAACCACCAGAGCTCAAAAAAACTATCAAGGAATACATACACCAGGATAAACTGTTCATTGATTCCAACAGTAATTTCTTGAATGCAAAGTTGGTCCATAAATTTTACTACATCAGACTCCCGCCAGTTTCATAGAGAAAATATATTTAAAAAAAAACAAAACCCAAAAACCAACCAACCAACCAACCAACCAAAGTTGCAAGACTTAGAATCGGCTTCCTTGACAGAAAGCTTTTGGTAATACATGGCATGAACCTGAAGTGGTCTCCAGAACAGGTGAGTGAGAAGACAATTCTGTCACAAATCATGGTATCTAATTATTTTGGATAGTATGCTACAAGCCTGAGACTTATGTCCCATAACTCATAGTTTCTCTCATAACTCCATAATGCCAGTGTGGCAATATTTATTTCACTGTTTTTGCATATTTGACAGATTTTAACCTCTGCTACAATTGTAACAGTTCAATGTTAAACTGGCAAAACACTGTGCTGCACTGAATCGCTTGGTGTTGCTCTAGATTTTCTTAATTTATAAATTCATGGTAGCAAGTTAAGATGTGCTTTAAACATAACAGCCTAGTAATATTTATTTACTGTTTACTTTTGTTTATTTACTGGTAGCTTTTCATACAGTAAATCGCGCAATCTCATACGTTCTGCATAATAAGGGAGAAACGAGTGGATGTGCAGTATTTGTCTACGCAGGCACAGTTAAGCAAACTATCAAAGTGAAAAAAGACTGCCGTTTAGATGTATTCAGGAAGAAACTTGCTGAACAAAACTAAGTAAAATTTTTATCTTTTCTGTTTTGAAACAGGAACTCATTGTGCATAATTGCACCATCAAACACAGGATAAACAAAGCAAACAGATCCTTCCTCCAGCTGCAGTAAATCTAGCTGCATTATATCAGGCGTTTTGTATTGAAAGGAACAGGAGGTTTTTTTCCTCTCAAACAATGTATACTAAGGATTTTTTTCAGTCTGTTAGTATAGACTGATGGTTTATACCTTTGTATACCTTTCACCATCCAGTTTTAGCTTTGATGTTCCAGCTCCCAGTCTGCTTGGGAAGTTGTCATGCTATTACATAGCTTTCTTCTCCACAGCCAAACTGCTGTTTATAGCCTGCCTGTCACACACCAGCTGCCTGCTGTCCTATCTCCTTGTGAGCCTGAACATTACTGCTTTTTCCTTTAGAAGAGAATTAGAGCTTCCCTCCATCTCTGTGTTAATCTGTGTGACATGGTTTTATGCAGTGGACTCATTGCAAGACATTGTGAATGTAAATGAATATAAAACATGAATCTGAAAAACATAGACTCATAGAATCATGGAATGGTTTGGGTTGGAAGGAACATTAATTCCAACCCCCCTGCCACAGGCAGGGGCACACTCCACCAGACACGGTTGCTCCCAGACCCGGCCCTTGAACGCTGCCAGGGAGGGGCCAGCCACAGCTTCTCTGGGCACCCTGTGCCAGGGCCTCAGCACCCTCACAGGAAAGAGCTTCTTCCTAACATCCAATCTAAGTCTACCCCCTGTCAGTTTAAAACCATCCCCCTGGTCCTGTCCCTACAGACCCTTGTCAAAAGCCCCTCTCCAGCTTTTTTGTAGCCCCTTTAGGCACTGGAGCTGCTCTAAGGTCTCCCCTTAAGGAGCCTTCTCTTCCCCAGGCTGAACCAGCCCAGCTCTCTCAGCCTGGCTCCAGAGCAGAGCTCCCCCAGCCCTTGCAGCATCTCCGTGGCCTCCTCTGGACTCGCTCCAACCGCTCCACGTCCCTCCTGTGTTGTTGCCCCAGAGCTGGATCAGGACTGCAGGGGGGGTCTCCCCAGAGCACAGCAGAGGGGAAGCATCCCCTCCCTCGACCTGCTTCTCACGCTCTGGGGATGCAGCCCAGCACATGGAGGGGGTTCTGGGCTCAAGCTCACACTGAGCTTCTCACCAAGCAACACTTGTCCTCAGACACGACACAACTCAAGTCCTTCTTCACAGGGCTGGTCTCAATCCATTCTCCACCCAGCCTGTATTTGTGCTTGGGATTGCCCCAGCCCAGGTGTGGGACCTTGCACTTGGCCTTGTTGAACTCCATGAGGCTGGCACTGGCCACCTCTCAAGCATGTCAAGGTCCCTCTGGATCCCATCCCTTTCCTCCAGCATGGCAACTGCACCACACAGCTTGGTGTCATCAGCAAACTTGCTGAGGGTGCACTCCCACTGTCCATCCAACCTAAAATCCTCATAACACACATACAAATAATAATAATGCAAATATTCAACAGCCTAGGACAAGCCAGAAGTTCTGTATGAACAAAAAAAACTCCAAACAAACAGGCGGGGGAGAAAAACCACACAAAACAAACAAAAAAAAATCCACAACAAAAACCCCAACTATTATTTCCTCACCTCTTTTTTAATAAAAAATAAACAAACGCATTTGGAAGAGCTAAGATTAGGCAGACAGCACATACGGTCATTGTTGCCTGAGTCATGCCAGTTACTTCTTAGCTTCTCTTTTGTCTTCCCTTATGCACTGAACTCATACTAAACTTCTAGAAAACTTATTTGGTTTCCAAATAAAATGGGCTGCATAAGAAAGCTTAATGGCTGGATAAAACCAGACACCTCTTAAAGAGGTGCAGCTCCTGTTTTGACTATTTGCATTAAGACTTGACGCAGTATTCAAGTTCTATACACAGTAGCATCCAATATTGTGATCTTATATTCGGATATCTTTGCAGAATGCCATTTTAGCAGCAGCAAAATTGCATAACTATGTACAGACATTACAAACAGTTCATTAAGAAGCTGACTGGCTGAGACCCATTATTCTTCATACATTTTGCCTACTAACATTACTTTTACTTGGTTTGTCCTCATGACAGTAAATTCAGAGGATGCTCGGTCAGTAGATCTGGGACTACACTCTGAAAATGAGGATGGAGGTTTTTATACAGAAAACTTTCATTCTGCTTCCTGGGTTTTCAGAGGAGATGATGTCTCTCCAGATAATAGTCCTAGATGTCTCAGCAAAAGGCCTAGACCAGTGGCAAGTAAGTTGGCTAAAGCAAAAGGTAATAAATGTCATAAAACTGTTTATTTGGGGCACTCTGAGGATTCCAGGGGGTCAACATTCTGCAGAAGACACTGTATGCTTATGCTGAAGATGGGAAAAAGAGCAACTCAAGAATCTAAAAGGTTATAAAAAACCATAAATAAGTAGTTCTTATTAGGTACTGTCTTTCAAAATGTCATAATTACTTGACAAAATCAACACTGGTAAAAGTTCACAATTAAACCTAATGATAAGAGTACAAGCAATGTAATTTTATAGCTTTCAAGAATGACAAAATCTTAGAGACCAATTTATGGACATAAAGTATTACAATAGTCATAAAATCTGTTGTCCATCCAGCTTTCAAACATAGTAGATCCAGAAAGAAAAGGATCAATTTTGTTAGGGATATGAAGTGTTGTTCCATTTGTAGTTTAAACCCTGTCATGCAAACTGATACAGTTACTAACTTTTGTAGGGTAATGGGAGGTTTTACTCCACTTTTCAAATGTTAAGTTGCTGAAAAGTAACACATTTCGAATAACTAAGACAAACTGAAATACCCCTGTAAATTTCCAGAAAACAGTTCTTTGCTGGAGCTTGTATATCATACACTATATGAGAGAAAACAGTTGTCCTCTATAAATCTCCAGATATGAAACATCTCCCTCAAAATACGTGAGAGTATTCTGGAGAGCCATTTTGATTGCCTTTTCTCCCAGGGGAGAGCTCAGAAGTTCAGCAAGATAGTCAAACTAGGTGTTGAAGTATCTATGTTTTTTTAGACAGGTAACATCAATTGGCCTACTATTAAAGCATCCTTTAAAGCAATTTCTATCTTCCAAATAGTAAAGAATTTGAAGGCAAAACAGCTGTCAGAAATTATTATTAATTTGGCCTCCATTAAACAAACACAGTAAGACAGTCAAATGATCAAAAGCAGACACCCTGAGAATTCAAATTTACACTGAAGTCCTACATAAGTATAAGGTTTACTAGCGAGCCAGACCATTTGAGGCTTGGTAATAATACTAAACCCTAAGAAAAAGTTGGGAATAGGCAATTAGACCCTGATCTTCCTTTTTACTGAGGGTGATCCCCTTACCTGTTGTGACTTTTTTCCAGAAAATTACTGGAAAGACATTTTACATGGTTACAGGCACTGGTTGCAGGTGATGCCAGTTTGGTGGGGGGTTGGACTAGAGGACTGGGAGGCAGTGGGAGCAGGCAGTGGACAGGGGAGGGTAAACGGAAGGAAAAGAAAGAATTGGTGTTGAAATGATAGAGGCCTTCTAAAATATAAAAAGATGAAAAGCATTCCAGCCATTTGCAGAATCAGGAACTGTCAGTGCCTGTATATAAAAATTTTTAAAATCAGCTGCTGCTTGTTAATTTGAACTTGACATGTAGAGAAAAAGAGATGTCTTTTTCCTATTTTGCAGTCCGTGAAAGAACTGTGAAGATCGCTAAAGGAACTGGCAGTTACCCTTGGGGTTTCAGGATCCAGTTCTCAAAGCCTATCCTTGTGACTGAAGTTGACACAAGTAAGTTGTGTTTGTACTAGTTAACTTCTCCATATAAAAACACTCACAAAATATTTAGTAATATAATATATGATATAATATTATCTATTTGTTATAGAACATCTCTTTTATAATAATATATAATACAGATGTATATAAATAATTTCCATAATTAGCGGGTGTAAGGTGTTTAGTAACATGTCCTTGAACTGCTCATAACGAACTACCTTAAGGCCCTGGTATGCCTGTAGGTTAACCACACTCCGCTATTCTGTGTCCTTCCATGCCGGTTGATACCTTCTGCAAGCATCTGCATCCAGCCTCTCTCAACATGTAAAGTCTAGAAGTCTGTTACCAATATCTATTAACAACAGCAGGTCTTTAAGAATGAAGTAGCGGGTGCAGTCGTCCTCATCAGAACATTTCCAAAAGCTGTAATTGCTGGGGACACTTCTGCTTGGATGGGTTTCCATCGAGCCATCTTTAAGCACTAACAGGTGTGCTGTTAATTCTTCATGGTAGTCTGATGATTATAAGGAACTCCCTAAGAAACTGAAAAACCTGAGTGAGAGAGGAAAAAAAGTGTCAGATGAGTTTCAACAAAGATTCAATGGAAGATATTGCCTCTAGAAATTATCTATACCATACCTACATGATGGAGAATATGATATTGGCAGTTATGCTCAGGAATGAGATCTTGGGAGTCACCACTGACAGATCTCTGAAATCATTGTCTGTGTTCAATGGCAGCTTTGAAATGTGGGTAATAGCTGGCTCTGTGAATAACGGCAGTGAGAAAGAGACACAGGCAGTCTTAGTCATTTTGCTGCTACCTAAAACCCAAATCTAGAGCATTGCTTGCTGTACTTCACTCTGCATCCCAGGAGAGACACAGTAGATTTAGGAGAGAAGAAGATACAGCAAAGTCTGATAAATTTCTACCACCAAAGGCAGATATAATGAAAAATGTCACCCTTGACCAAGAATTCTAGTGCATGCCCTCTAGCAAGGCATCTAAAATAGCTCTGTCACTTTACCAGCATATGTATTATATTGTCCAGCTTCCCAACAACACTGTTAAAGCCTGTGAATTCAGAGTCTTATGAATCCGTTAGCTGAATTCACCACTTGAAAAATTGCTTCCTGAGCTACTAAATAGGGTCATCATTAAAATCCACTAAGGAAGATGAGGAAAGTCAGAAATCTGAACAAGGGAGCAACACACAGAGAAAAAACAAAATACATCACTGAAAAGGTCGACAACTTTACCAACACTTTACAACTCTAAGACTTGTGTTAGAAAGCCATGCATCCCTTAAGATCTGAACATAGATTTACAGCACAGTCACGCTTTTTGCATGGTGCTACTGTTAAGTTCTAAAAGTCATTCTAACTTGTTGCCTCAGAGCAAACGTTCTATTTACTGAACACTAAAAATAAAGACCTCAGTCCAGAAGAGGAACTCAGACAAAGAAGGGATCTATTCAAAAGAAATACAGGAAAATGTTGGAAGTGGTTGTTTTACTTTCTATATGGCTATATCTATTGTTTGTCAAAGGATCTTTTATTGTAAACTACATGAAAACGAACACGATTTTGACACTGGATCCTAGAGGTTTTCCTGTAATTATACATGTCTGAATGCAATCAGGAATTTCCATTATCAGTTGAAGCTTTGTGAATAATGTAAGTCCAAAAAAGCCTTTCCCTGCAGAACACTATACAAAGGACTTAGTGAGACAAAATTGTGGATGAAATGACTGTGTAATGTTCTTCATCCTGAAACAGCTACCTAATTTTAGCCCGGAATATTTTTTTTTATACTTTTTCAGACTACATAATATTCACAGCATGTCTTATGTGAAAAGTGATTTAAGTGAACCTGAGAAAGCAATTTTGAATTAAAAAAACTTGTTCTGCCCATCTTATTAGAATGTTACTTTTGACTACAAGGATAAAGATCATCATCATTCATTGCTGATGATTTTAAGAAAACAAAACTACTAGGATCAACCATCATTTGTTTAAATAGCACAATTGTGGTGATGTGTGTGTGCTGGGACAACTAGCTGTTATTATCAGCTGGGAATTTCAGTACCTATTGACAAAAAGTAATCTCTGTTGCAAAGATATCTTTCTTCTCTCTAGCATTAAGAGTTTTAGATTATTTCTCAGTTGCAAACACAGATTCCCTCAGTGTTCTTACATCAAAGAGTATAACCTCAGAAGAGGTCTTTCAAATTAGAATGTGCAAAAGTTTTTTCCTAAAAATACGCCAATCATAGGTCATGCATACAACATTGGCCCTAATAACTACCAATGTAGCCCTGTAACCTACTGATTAAATAGATCTAATTATATTGTATATCACTCCTCTTAAGTTTATTTGTATGTTATGTTTTTAAATGCAGTTGCTTTAAAATGGCAACAACAAAAAGAACATTCCTTCTTTTAAAGATAAACTCTATGTCAAAATCCATTTTCTCAAAATATGAGTAATCTTATTAAAAAAGACAAAAATTGCATTTTTATACTTTGTTGTTTGCACACTGCAACATTATTTTGATAATATTTTAAAGACCACTTACGATCATGAAGTCTTGTATGAGATCCTCAAGGCCAGCGCAAACCAAAATGTTCTGGCATTTGCAAATTTGCAAATGATTTGTAATACACATGATGGTGAGCCATGTCTTTTTTTGTGTTTGTTTATTATTAAGCTTTTACTAATCTCTTCCCAACAACTTATAAGCATCCTTAGAAATATACTGAATGATCACATTTACTGTATAGGTACAAAATTTTTAAAGATATGCATTAAAAAGTATGGACCTGGAGCAATATTTTCCACAACATTTTTTTCAAAGTTCATTCAGAATGCTTATAAATGAGAAGGAAAAAAATGTTTCCATGAAATTTGCAGCTGGGATTTTAGTAACTGCGTATTGCTGCCCATGAATGGAGCATATTTATCATTTCCCTAACTTGCGTCTACTCCTGCTGGCATCTGCCTGAGCCCTGTTTTATTAGGAGTGCATGTGCTCTGCAACAGTTAACAAATAAACAAAAGGTTGATCGATTAAGAAATCTGAGACAATGCCTCCTTTACTGACCCTTTGATAATTTACTATGTTATTTCCTCATAAAGAAAAAATCCACAAAATATCATAGACAAATTATTTTAACCAGCAAGAGAAACATCAACACAGAAAGTAGTCTTTTGGTCTTATAGCCAAAACTCAGCAGAATAATAAAAACTTTTTTCTGTTGACTTTACTGAACACTGCAGCAGATATTTGTCTTCACTTTAGGACAAAACTCTCAGATTGAAAGGCCTTGTTTGCATCTTAAAGCATTTAAGTCCTAATGGCATTATTTGTCCACTGCCAGTGACTATCTAGTGTTGAACCAGTATCCAGTTCAACACTAGGTAGTGTTCAGTTCAATCCTGAAGTTTTGTTTACAGATGACTAACAGGTTGCTCAGAAAAACTTGCTGGACCTCTAAGTTGACGTCTCAAAGGCCCAAAGCATAATCCTTGCTTGGTTGGGCAGACATCTCTTTTGCTAGAAAAGCTTGATCACATAGACATACTTGACATCCTAACTCTAAGTAAAATGGATTTGGTTTGTTTGTTTGTTTTTGGTTTTTTGTCTTTTATTCCAGACAGTGCAGCTGAAGAAGCAGGGCTTCAGGTTGGGGATATTCTGATAGCAGTCAATGGAACTGATGTCACCAACATGCCACATTCAGAAGCTGCTAATCTGGCAAGGAAAGGTTAGTTTGAGATCGCAGTATACTACATGGATAGGTCAGGATTGCTGTAAAGTGCTCCAAATACATCCAGACAAGTTGGATGATGGATACAACAGAAATCTTAAGTTTAATGCATTAGTGTTTAATACAGTAGTATTGTCTAAGTCACGTTTTTATCTAGACCTTCCTAGGAAATCAGAAGAAAACAGACATACAAAATATTCCCCAAAGAGCATGTAGAATCACAGAATACTTTGGGTTGGAAGGCACCTTAAAGATCTAGCTCCACCCCCGCTGCCATGAGCAGGGACACCTTTTGTCTCTCTCGCTTTTAAGAAGTGACTGAGAAAATCCTGCAAGTCACTGCAAAGACACCAATACCTTATTTATGCCTTATGCTTCCTCAGGGAGAGACTTCACAGCTTAGTTCAGTGCCCCAAGTAGTTATTTCTGTGATGCCAAGACCTGAAGTCTAGTCGGGAGAGCAGAGAGGTTATTTCATAAGACATCCTTTTGCAGCACCACAGAAACAAGGAGTCAGCAATATCAGTTACGTGTATTCTTCCTAGAATCATAACTAAACCCCAAACGTATGCATGTTTGCATGCTGAAAGTTAATCTACTGACATTCTTTATTTATCCCAGATATGGGTTTGACAAGGGCTCATGGGAAGTTCAATAAATTAAAATTACAAGACAGTGACAAATTTAACTTGGCACGTACCAGGTTCTTTAATTATAGAGGTGCCATGCACGCTATTATACCTAAGAGTATATCAAGTCTTTTAGTAGATAAATCTCTGAATACTGGGTATTTTTAACTCCTCAGAGAACATCCTGTTGCCTAAATCTTGGCACACAGACAGCATTCCCAAAGTCAACTGTCTCTAGAAGAGTTTTGCAAATGAAAATATGTCATAGCCAAATTTCTCAATCCTCTTTAAGGCTTTGCCACACTGGAACAGTCTCTGATTGTCGTGGTTTAAGCCCAGCCGGCAACTTGGAACCACGCAGCCGCTCGCTCACTCCCCCACTTTTCCTTCCTCCCCCCGCTCCCGGAGGGATGGGGAGGAGAATCGAAGGAATGTAACTCCCACGAGTTGAGATAACAGCTCTCCAGTAACTAAGGTATAATACAAACCACTGCTGCTACCAATAATAATGATAAGAGGAATAACAAGGGAAAAAGACACAACCGCTCACCACCCGCCGACCGATACCCAGCCCGACCCGAGCAGCAATCTGGGCCTTCCGGGTAACTCCCCCCAGTTTATATACTGGGCATGACATGCTGTGGTATGGAATAGCCCTTTGGCCAGTTTGGGTCAGGTGTCCTGTCTCTGCTTCCTCCTGGCTTCCCCTCCTCTCTGGCAAAGCATGAGACTGAGAAAGTCCTTGGTCAGAGTAAACATTACTTAGCAACAACTAAAAACATCGGTGTTATCAGCACTGTTCCCAGACTGAAAGTCAAAAACACAGCACTGCACCAGCTACTAAGAAGGAGAAAAAATGACTGCTGTAGCTGAACCCAGGACACTGATAAAATCAGAATTTCAGGCCTTTAGGATCAAAGCCTTAGACGCATTGATAGCATCAGCAAATATTATGAAATTGTACTTTGTTGCTGATAAAAATCACACATTTTAGACAGCTTTACAATCTAACATCTCCTTTGAGCACTTACCTTTACAAATTATAAGTAGACACTTTAGCACAAGTTAGCCTCCAGTGAGGGCTCAGTGAGAGGCACAGATAGCAGAAAAGGTTAGTAGAAATGGACAAGAAAGAATTCTCAGAAGCATATGTAAGATAATAGAGACTGAAGATGCCTCTAAGAGAATTCTCAGAAATTTTTCTATAAGCCTTAATTTATGTACACTCATTTGAGCAATGAAATCCAACTGATAAAATATGCAAGCACCTAAGATGCTGCTTGCAAAGATAGGTCACGATAGCTGTTTTAAGAAGGGTCTTCAGATAGTTGGCTCCATTACTAGTTCTCAACACAAAAATGTTTTCATTCCTGAATTTCTGTTAAAAGAAGGCCAAATATTGTTTGATTTAATTCATTGTTTCCTGGGCTGCTTTGCTCATTGCTTCTTCTAGAAGTGACACTGAGAGGAGAAGGGCATACGGGATAGAAGACTGCTTTCCTGCTCCATACCCTACAAGGGTATTTAAAAATATTGACATAATGGATTATAGTTTTGACCTATGTTTTCACGTTCTTCATGTAATATTTTAGGTCCTGATATCCTGACTATGACAGTGGGATCAGATATCAGCCGTTACCCTAACACCCCCAGACCTACCTGCCGAGGATATTTGCATAAACGAACCCAGTCAGCAATACTGAAGGGCTGGAGAAAGAGGTGGTTTGTGCTGAAACATAATGGCTACCTGCAGTATTACAAACACAAGAAGGTAAGGAGAGCAGCCGATGAGGGATTAAGGTGTATCCTGAACCACAAAGTGCAGCAGTACTCTACTAAAATTGACAGATCATTATTTAACTTGTAGTATTTACAGAATAACACCAGCACTAAAGATGCTTTTGTATATGGTATACAGCAGGGGCTCATCGAGTATCTCTGCCTTCCTGTATCTTAGTCACAGACATAGACACTATGTTTTGTGGATTCACATTTAATCTCTTAGTTCTGATCACCAAGAACTCTAAACTGAATAGGCTCTAGGAGGCTTTGGATGAGATGAAGTAGTTTCAGATGTGTAGGAGCTCTGAATTCCCTCTACTATTACATGTATTTTCTTAAGTAGGCATGACCATGAGATTTCTTTGTGTGGGGCTCCATTTACATATGGCATAATTTACAATGCCCTGATTGTACAGTGAGTCTTAACGGCCCTAAATCAGTGGCTTCATGGTTATCTCATTTTTTCTTATGGTTAGCTACATTTGACTATTCTATGCAGTTATTCGTCACTAACTAAGTGAATATAGACATCATACTTTAAAAAAGGGAAAAAGAAAAAGGATTTTTCTCTTGAAGTGGCTAGCTCCAGAAGTGGGGGATGTGGACAGCAGGCAGCAGGCAGTGGCATGGCTCACGGACCTGGCCACAACAAGCCCATGAACTCATCTGCCCTGCAGTAGCATTTTACTACAGTCTGTGAGATGGTTCAGCGGCTAATGCATGTACTTATAAGTTACTAATACCCTCCCCTATGTAGCTTCATGATGAAGTTATTTACTGACAAAGTTATATCTATAAGAACAAGAAGATTGATTTCTAAGACTGTGGTCTGTTCAGGGCTTTTTGCAGTTAAACTTTTTACAGCTTGTGAAAAAGATTGAAAGTCATCCACTTCACTTTTATCTTCACCAGATTTCAGGAAAACTTAGTGAAGCTGAGGAAATTTGCCTTGCTGAGGGATTTCTCACTAGATGAATACCATGTAGCTTCCAGGGAATCTCCTGGCTAACCTAGAAAGAACATCAGCAGAAATATTGGCTGGTTAGAAACAGGCAGAAATGGGTTTGTTTCCAACACACGATTTGAAGACATACCAGTGAAATACACCCATGTTCACCCTTAATCAAAATCTACATGAGAACCTAAGCATGTCACCAAGTCCTTGATGTGTAAATAGTTTTGTCTTTGATAACATCGTTGCACACCTTTTTGTCAACTCAGTACATGAAGGATGTAGATGTACGTGTACACACATACATATGTAGACACAGCAGCATAATTTTGCAATAAATATGAATATAATCTAGACAACAAAACAGTGTTAAGAAAGTTCAACCAGCAGAAGAACAATAGGGAAGCTAATACTGCAGGCTTCACTCTTAATCATGACTCTACCTTTTTTTTGTTTTTCTTCTACTTCATCATCTCTCTCTAGGTCATACATCAATCTCCCACATATGTATTTCATCTTTTGCTCACATATATTAGCCTCTTCGTTCATTTTTACACGAATAGTAGAGTCACTCCAGTAAAAGCATCACTTGATTTTTTTTTCCTTTTTTGTAAAAACTGGAAACCAAATTATTTTTACCTGAAAGATGCTAACACAATGCTTACCAAGGACTATACTTTGAGGACTCCATAGATTAGTCTTTCTTTATAGCTCAAGATCTCTGATACGCCCAACAACACATTCTGGTCCCCCCTCCTGTGGATCCTAAGCATAGTTTTTCATGGGCAATTCTGTTAGGATGAGGAAAAGAATTCACATGAGGCACTGCAGTTTCCTATCTAGACTGAAATTAATCAAGCTTTCAATATTTAAACTTCTTGATCAAAACCAAACACGTTAGTGGGAAAAACATTTTGTGAAAGGTAATTATAAGTAATAGAAAAAGCTTGCTCCTCTACAATTTTTTATCCACCTGACATTTCCAATAGAAACTCTGATAGGCTTATTTATCTGCATATACCATGATATACACACTAGCCATCCAATCAGGATTATGCTGCAGAACCACTGGGTATACAATAATGTGGTCTGGCTTTCCACTGCCATTATTTCAACACTATCTATTCTTGTCTTAAAACAGAAGCAAATAAACAAATCTCACACTAAAAGGAATACAAACATATAGGAACATTTGTTTGGAGAAAAGTTTTTTATTTTATCCTAGTCAGGTCCTTCATCAAACTCCTGAAATGTGTAAAACAAAAATCTAGTTAAGCCTTTTAAACACTCTCCACTTTTCACTTCCCACTTACCTCTGAAAACAAATAATGTTAGATAAATTTGATTGAGGATTAGGTGCTCCATAATCTTACATTCATTAATATTTATTAAATTTTCTTTTATTTATTTCAACTAGCAGATTTCATTCTAAACCTTTCTTTTCTTCCCCAGCTAGCTTTATTTTATTTACTGCTCTGAAAAAATAGCTATTTCTGTCATATCAATCTTAAGTTTTGATAGTAGGATCTTTAGCTACTGAAAGCATGCATTTGGTTTTGTTTAATAAGAGTAAATAAATTTAAAGCACTGTGTTAACATTTTATAGTAATAACTACTGCTTGTTATCCAAAAATAGTGCCATCCAACCACTTTTTAAATTGTTTTACACCTTTTTTTTACCAGCTGCTCTAGATTCCAAAGAATACACTGAAATACTGCAGTGTTATCTTAGTACCTGAAAGCACAAGAACCTTCTTCATTGCCTCATCTGCTTACAGAGTACTCTGAAAATGCTTTTAGTAAGACAAAAGGAAAGATAATTAAATACAAATTCACTTCTTCCAATACCCAAACAAAGTAAGAGTGAGCTCAATGGGACTCATTGGCACATCTTTCTTTTGGTATGATTTCTATCAGGACACAAGAAGAACAACACGTACAGATGCTGCTCATCCCACTTTCTTTTCCAAGAGAATTACAAATAAACTTCTTAGTTTAACATAGCATTTATATAACATGTCAGATGGGTGATTAAGTTGGAAAAATTTTGTTCCAGGCCTTGCCTCACACAGGAGGAAAAAATTTTCCACTTAGTGGAGATAAGATGTTCTTCAAAACAGTTCATTGAGGTCAAGAATAATTCTGCTTTAGTCTGTATCAACAAACATCATTTCCTCATCATTGCTATTTCCAGCCAGAAGTTCTGCATGCTGAGCTCTCCTTTTCCCACCTATATTAAAAGACAGATTGTTGTTTCTAGTGCTTTTTTCGTACTGACTCACCAATATAACTGCTGCTGTTTCAGACTCACCTCTATTCAATCATATATTGGTGAAGTGATAGCTGTTGCAACAGATTCAGTCACTTTATACACAAGTTCATTTTGTTTTCCCTTAAGCAGATAGTGCCACTGATTTTGACTATACAATCCATATAGGTAAATAAAACACACTTTTCACCTCGGTGGACATGTGGCTATGTTTGCCACCTCACAGCAGAAATATTGGGCACATTGGGATAGAACCTTTTTTTGTAAATTATTATGAATTTTTTGTAAATTATTGAGATCAGTGAGGATATAATGATTTATAATATTTTTGCCTGCACTTAGCAACAGTGGAGTTCTGCTATGCACTCTACAGCTCTGGTCCCCCATTGTCCAGACCACTGGGTCCTCTCAAATGTGCTATTTCTTCTTTTGCTAATGTGCCCAGTTTTTCTCCTAGGAAAAATATCTGGACATTGTGAGGAGATAGACAGTGACATACACTTAAGTACTACCCTAAGGCAAGTACAAGCAATCAAGTTTCCTGTGCTTGAATTTACCCATTTTCTCAAGGAATGCTGAAAGCACATCAGCATAGTCAAGCATTGATCCTTTCTTTACAGAGGGCAGTGACTCCTCCTCTAAAACCAGTGTGTGCTGCTCAGCACAGCAAAGTGACTGCAAAGTCATCACAAAATGCCTATGGTGAAGACTTCAGTGTAGGACAGAAAAAGCTTAGAATCATAGAGTCATATAATCAACTACATTGGAAAAGACCTTTAAGATTACATAGTCCAGCTTCTACTCCAGCACTGCCATGGCCACCACTATCACATGTCACTAAGGCCCTCGTCTACATGGTTTGTGAAGACTTTCAGGAATGGTGATTCCACCACTGCCCTGGGCAGCTTGTTCCAATGCCTGACCACCCTTTTGGGGAAGAAATTGTTCCTAATATCCAGTCTAACGCTCCCCTGGTGCAGCTTGAGACCTTTTCCTCTTGTCCTGTCACTTGTTCCTTGGGAGGAGAGACCACCCCACTCCTGGCTCCATCCTCCTTTCAGGTAGTTGTAGATGGCAATAAGATACCTCATGAGCCTTCTCTTCTCCAAAATGAGACCAGTAAGATAACAACAGCCACCTAGCCACAGCAGTAGAGCATCATTTGAACAGGTTAAGTAAGTTCACATAGATCTCTGAGATGCTACCACCAAGTTGCTTTTAGAACCAGAAAGCTAACTTGGAAACTTTACGATATGCTACAGCCTTCAAGATACAAAAATTCTGGTCTTGTAAACCCATTAAAAAGAAGGAATATAATTTCTGGAACCCAGGAACAAATGTACCAATAAGGAGTTTAAAGGCTGTGGAGCAAGCATAACAGGCATAAGGACATACCTGTTAGAGAGCTAACAGTGTTCTAGGCTTAAGAGGAAAGCACAAGAGTAAAGAAGGAATTATAGCCAAAACCATATTTTCCCAAATTCCTTATTACAAATATCTGTCATGTAAGGAGCTCAGCTAATTAAAAATGCTGAGGATTGCAAATCCACTAAAAATGCCAGCCCAAGCCACAATTTCCTAGTTTCAATTCATTGTTGCTTTCTTGCTATGTAAGACTTGTTAAAAAACATGTACAACAAGTGGTTTCGTGGGTCAAAGAAGACAGAGGGAAAAAAAGGTAGAATTAACAAAAGATCATGTTCGTAACAATGCCATAGCTCCTCTCTGGTTTGTGTCTTGCTATGTTCCTAGGAATTATTTCCTGTTC